TTGGTGGTACAAGCATCTGGTTATTAAAATCAGTTAGTGCCCTGTGTAGAGAGCAGACAACTGATTTTCTAAGAATAATAACTGCTATTATTCTTTTTGCCAGAGACTTCTTCCGGTCTGAACATACTAGTGGTGATTGACACAAATATAATGATTAGTCATCTTGAGTTTGTAAAGTCCCTGAAATCTGAGGATATACCAGGTATGTGAATACATGGTGATCAACAAGAATTTTTGGAAAAAACAGATATAAGAATTTCAGGCTGCATGAAACAAACAGCAACAACAAAAAAAACATCTAAGCTTAAAAAGATAGTAGGTTTCATATGAGCCAGGAGGCTCTCACTTACAATGCTCGTTCTCTGAACTCAAATAGGCTTCTTAAGAAAAGTTCAGTTATTAAGTAAAGCCTACTATGCTTATACCTATGCACTTAAATTCTTGGTAAATATGTCTTCAAAGAATCATAGAGTGACTTGGAAAAAACATTAAAGCCCATCCAGTTCCACTCCCCCTGCTGTGGGCTTGTTGCCATCTACCAGATCAGGCTGCTGAGGGACCCTTCCAACCTCTTGAATGCCTCCAGGTAGGGGGCACCCACAGCTTCTCTGGGCATCCTGTGACAAGCCTCACTGCCCTCTGAGTAAAGAATTTCCCTTTTACATCTAACCTAAATCTCCTCGCACTTAGTTTAAAATCATTCCCCTTTGTCCTGATGCTGTCTGCCCACATAAAAAGTTGATCTCCCTCCTGTAACTCCCCTCAAGTACTGGATGGTCAAGGTTGAGGGGTCATAGAGTCACAGAATGGCCTGGGTTGAAAAGGACCACAATGATCATCTAGTTCCAACTCCCCTGCTATGTGCAGGGTCGCCAACCAGCAGACCAGGCTGCCCAGAGCCACATCCAGTCTGGCCTTGAATGCCTCCAGGGATGGGGCATCCACAGCCTCCTTGGGCAACCTGCTCCAGAGTGTCTGTATGAAAAACTTCCTCCTATCTACTTCCTCCTAATATCTAACCTAAACCTCTCCTGTCTTAGTTTAAAACCATTCCCCCTTGTCCTATCACTATATACCCTCATAAACGGCCATTCCCCCTCCTGTTTATATGCTCCCTTCAAGTACTGGAAGGCCATAATGAGGTCTCCCTGGAGCCTTCTTTTCTCCAAGCTAAACAAGCCCGGTTCCCTCGACCTTTCTTCATAGGAAAGGTGCTTCAGCCCTCTGATCATCTTAGTGCCCTCCTCTGGACCTGCTCCAAGAGCTCCACGTCCTTCCTCTGTTGGGGGCCCCAGGCCTGGACACAGGACTGCAGATGGGGCCTTCACAAGAGCCGAGTAGAGGGGGACAATCACCTCCCTCTCCATACTGGCCACCCCTCTTTAATGCTGCCCAGAACACAGTTGACCTTCCGAGCTGCAAGCACACTGCTGGCTCATGTCCAGTTTCTTGTCCACCAGGACCACCAAGTCCTTCTCCACAGGGCTGCTCTCAAGGAGATATTCCCCCAGTTTGTATAAATTCTCGGGATTGCCCCGACCCAGTGCAGCACCGTGCACTTGGCCTTATTGAACCTCATTAGGTTTTCATTTCTCTAGCCTATCCAGGTCCCTCTGGATGGCTTCCCTTCCTTCCAACGTCTTAACTGCACCACTCAGCTTGGTGTCATCTGTAAATATGCTGAGGGTGCACTCGATGCCATCGTCTGTTATTGATGAAGATGTTGAAGAGCACCGGTCCCAAGACAAACCCCTGAGGGACACCGCTTGTGACCAGTCTGCACCGTCACAGAACCATTGATCACAGCCCTTTGGCTGTGTCCAGCCAGCCAATTCCTAATCCATTGAGCAGTCCATCCTTCAAATCCACACCTCTCCAATTTAGAGAGAAGGATGTGGTGACTGACCATATTGCCTTGCAGAAGTCCAGGTAGATGACATCCACCGCCATTCCCCATCGACCAGTGCCATTACTCCATCATAGAAGGCCACCAGATTGGTCAGGTATGATCTGCCCTTGGTGCAGCCATGCTGGCTTCTCCAATCACCTCTTTATCTCATATGTGCCTTTAGATAGCTTCTAGGAGGATCTGCTCCATGATCTTCACAGGCATAGAAGTGAGATTCACTGACCTGTAGTTCCCCTGATCTTCCTTCTCCTTTTGTTAAAGATGGGAGTAATGTTTCCCTTTTTCGAGACACCGGGGACTTCACCAGACAGCCATGATTTTTAAATATGATAGAGAGCATCTCAGCAACCACATCAGCTCTCAAAACCCTAGGCTGGATATCATCCGGCCCCGTGGACTTATACACATTCAGTTTCATGAGGAGAACTCAGACCGTTACAGTGGGACAGAACCCACACCCTCCCCTAGAGCTCAGGATCCTGGCGGATGTGGGAAGCCTGATCACCCGTGAAGATTGAGGCAAAGCACTCATTGAATACCTCGCTTTTTCTATGTCTGAGGAAGCCAGCTCCCATTAACTTTCATCACAGGGGGAACACTCTCCTTGGCCTGTTTCCTTCTGCCCAGGTACCTGTAGAACCCCTTCTTGTTATCTTTCACATCCCTCGCCAAGTTCAGCTCCACCTGTGCCTTGGCTTTCCTAACTCTATCTCTACACACATGGACAACAGCCCTGTATTCCTCCCAGACTACACAACCCTGCTTCCACTTTCTGTACATTTCCCTCTTTTCTCTCAGTTTAAGCTGCAGGTCCTTGCACAGCCACCGTGGTTGCCTGCCTCCCCTGCTTGATTTCTTCTGTTGAGGATGGAGAGCCGTTGTGCTCTCAGAAGGGTGTCCTTAAAGAGCTGCCAGCTCTGCTCTGTGCCCATGCCCTTAAGGACAGTTTCCCAGGGGATCCCACTCAGCAGTTCCTCGAGCAGCTGGAAGTTTGCTATCCTCACGCACAGGGTCCTAGCTCTGCTTTTTGCCAGGCCTGTATTCTTCAAGATCACAAACTCCACCAAGGCATGGTTACTGCAGCCCAGGCTGCCTCCAGTCTTAACCTCTCTGATGCTCTCCTCTGCGTTAGTGAGCACCAGGTCCAGTAAGGCTTCACCTTGGTTTGGTCCATCTATTTCCTGGACCAGGAAGTTGTCCTTGACAGACTGCAGGAATCTTCTGGATTGTCTGCCACTCGCTGTGCTGCTATCCCAACATATATCCGGGTGGTTCAAATCCCCCATCAGGACAAGAGTCCATGAGCGTGACACCTTCTGCAGTTGAAGCAAGAGGGTCTTGTCAACAGGCTTCTTCTGATCGTTGTTTACGGCGAAGGCATCGTTCATGCAAACCTGAGGACTGTGCTTAGTTCCTGCTCACTTTACCCCCCTCCCTCCCCTGCGCTCTCTGCTCCTCCGCCCTCCTCCCTCCTTAATTCAGAAAAGAAACACCTTAGGCTCAATTGGCTCTCAAGAGGGCAGGAGGATGCGGTCGGGGCGTGAGAGTTGCGTGGGAGAAGGGCCTGACTGCTGCAGCAGTACGACACAGGTTCCCTTTTAGGCTCCTTGGGAACAGTTACACTGTAATGTGCAAGCTGTGAGAAATTTGCAATCTACTGTTCCAGTTAGGTTTCCTGGCTCCCCTTGACACCTCCCTCCTCTGATGGTAACAGAGCAATGTGGATTGTTTTAAAAAAAAATTTATAATTTAAAAAAATCTAAATTAAAAAAAAACTGGACCTGAGCAAGGCCTTTGACATGGTCCCCCATCACATCCTCATCTCCAAACTGGAGGGAAGTGGATTTGACGGGTGGACAACTAGATGGATAAGCAACTGGTTGAAAGGCCGCAGACAGAGGGTGGTGGTCAATGGCTCTATGTCCAGGTGGAGGCCGGTAACGAGCGGTGTCCCTCAAGGGTCTGTCTTGGGACCGGTGCTCTTTAACATCTTTATTAATGACATCGATGAGGGAATGGAGTGCACCCTCAGCAAGTTTGCTGATGACACCAAGCTGAGTGGTGCAGTCGATACGGTGGAGGGAATGGAGGCCATTCAGAGGGACCTTGACAGGCTTGAAAGCTGGGCTCGGGTGAACCTAATGAGGTTCAATAAGGCAAAGTGCAAGGTTTTGCACTTGGGCCGGAAGAACCCCAGGCACCTGTACAGGCTGGGGGGAGTTGTCCTTGAGAGCAGCTCGGCAGAGAAAGACCTAGGGGTCCTGATAGATGAGAAACTTAACATGAGCCAGCAGTGCGCTCTGGCAGCCCGGAAAGCAAATGGGATCCTGGGCTCCATCAGGAGAGGGGTGGTCAGCAGGGATAGGGAGGTGATTGTCCCTCTCTACTCTGCTCTTGTGAGGCCCCATCTGGAGTACTGTGTTCAGGTGTGGAGCCCTCAGTACAAAAAAGACATGGAGATTTTGGAAAGGGTCCAGAGGAGGGCCACGAAGATGATCAGGGGGCTGGAGCACCTCCCCTATGAGGACAGGCTGAGGGAGTTGGGTTTGTTCAGCCTGGAGAAGAGAAGGTTGCGGGGCGACCTCATTGCAGCCTTTCAATATCTGAAGGGAACTTACTCCCAGGAGGGGAGTAAACTCTTCATAAGGGCTGATAATAGCAGGACACGGGGAAATGGTTTTAAGTTAAAAGAGGGAAGATTTAGGTTGGATGTTAGGGGGAAGTTTTTTACTAGGAGGGTGGTTAGGTCCTGGAACAGGCTGCCCAGGGATGTTGTGGATGCCCCGTCCTTGGAGGTGTTCAAGACCAGGTTGGACGAGGCTCTGGGCAACCTGATCTAGTAAAGGTGTATGTTTGGTGGCCCTGCTAGGCAGGGGGGTTGGAACTACATGATCCTTGAGGTCCTCTCCAACCCAGGTCATTCTGTGATTCTGTGATTCTGTGATCAGGTGGGCTTGCAGCAGACCCCAACCACTAGATGCCCCTTACTAGATCGATCCTTGATTTTTACCCACAAGCTCTTGACCTGATCATGGCTGTTCGTCAGACACAGCTCTTGGCAATCGATCCACTTCCTAACAGAGAGGGCAACTCTGCCACCCCTCCTACCCTGTCTGTCCCTTCTGAAAAGCCTGTAGTCCTCAATCAGGGTATTCCAATGACGGGATTCATCCTACCATGTTTCTGTGATAGCAATTAGGTCATATTTTCCCAACTGTGCCATGGTTTCTAGCTCCTCCTGTTTATTTCCCATGCTGTGCACAGAGCCTTGTAGCTGTTCTGTAAGGGCACCTGGGAAGATGGGACAGGCTGAGGGGCAGTCTGTTTGTTGCTCCCGACAGAGACGTGTTTGCATCCCTTGCTGTCTTTGAGTTGCCCCTTCCCACCTGGTCCCTGGAGTCTCTTCTCCAGGCTGAACAAGCCCAGCAGCTCCCTAGTCCTATCATAGGAGAGGTACTCCATCCTCCCAAACATCTCTCTGCTCTTCTGGTCTCACACCAACAGCCCTGTGTCTTTCCTGAGCCGGGGGCCCTGGACCTGTATGCAGTACTCCTGTCGGGCCTCTGAAGAGTGGGGTAGGGGGTTTCAATCACTTTATGTTGCCCTCCTGGCCACCCCTCTTTTGATACAGCCCAGGAAATGGTTGTATGATGTAACAATAATTAATGATGATGTAATTCACCATGCGAGCTTCATGCCTTGCATTCATGTCAAACTTTTTGTCTACCAGAATCCACAAGTCCTCTGCAAGGCTGCTCTCAGTGAATTCTTCTCCCTGTCTGTACACACATCTGGGATTCCTTGGACTTGGACTTATGAAGGTTCACATGAGCTTGTCTGGATCTCTTTAAATGGCATCCTTTTCTTCTGTCTTAGCACTCAGTTCAGTCTGTGAATTTGCTGAGGATGCATTCCATCCCACTTTCAAGGTTATTGATATTCTGAGAGAAACATTGAAACATTTAATCCATTACTAGTGGTCACGATGATTTACTGTTAGCAGAATTAGGATTGTGCTTATTAGTTCTTGTTAGACATATTTGGAAACTGTAAGAATAATTGTGGTGGTTTGATTCATTTAGATAATGAATGCAGGTATTCCAGCCGTGTGGAAAATAATATTAGTAAGAGACCAAGTAATTTCCAAGAGTGTCAGACTGTCTATCTGTCAAGATAGGAACTGTGTTTTGTAAACTGGTTTTGTAAACTGGCTGACTTAAATGCATTGTTTTTAAATTTTGCAATTAAACACTGGACCAATTGTGCAAAATGTTTAGAAGATTGCAGACTACTACCTATTTGCTACAAAGCAGGTGGATGCTAGTGCATATCTTAAAAATTGCATTCTTACTACGTGAATGAGAAGGCAGATAATTAAGTATTTGTGGTAGGTGGACCAAGAAAGCAGTTATGAAATCTCTGAATTACCGTTATTCCATTTATAATATTTATAATGTATTCCATTTATAATGCATTTGTAATAGTTTTGAAGTTGAAGCCATACTTAGATACAAATAAAAGTACAGTCCAGCAGCCATTCTTCCTGTTCCTTGCTTATGAATGTTGGTTGACATTTAGCACAACCCACTGCTCCTTTTATTTACTGATTGGTTTTGCACAGTGACTGCTGTGGGTCCTCCAGTGTTTTTAGCCTGTTCTTTTCAGCTGCTGTTACCTTGCTCTAAAGTATTACAGTGAGTATGTGACAGACATTGTAAGTGTTTTATAATATTGCTACCCACTGCTGTCAGTATACTTTCTTGATTAAATTTTTTTATTCTTTTTGTTTGTCTGGTAGTTTTTTTTTGTTTGTTTGTTTGTTTTTTGTTTTTTACATGTAACCCACGTACTTTTAGTTTGAGGTTTAATGAAAGAGGGAGCTTGGTTGATTTCACTGGTTAGTTTTTAATGCTAGGTATTTCTTGAGCACTAAATATGAAAACTATTAGTTAAAAACAAATAAAACATACAAACAAAAAAACAACAACAAAAAGCATGAGCTTATATAAACAAAGTGTTTGAAATAAAATTTAATTGTGGGACTTCAGTTGGCCTTACAAAATGTCTTTTTTTTGGCCTTTTTTTCGTTGTAGGGGTTGGCAAACTTTCCTTGATTATTCCTTGGGTTGTTTTACAAGAGTTGGACAACTTGAAGAAGGGGAAGATGTTAGTGCATGTTCGACAGAAGGCTGTTCCTGCAGTCCAGTTCATCTGTGCGTGTCTCAAAAATCAGGATCCAAAACTGTGGGGGCAATCCATGCAACTTGCTTCACAAAAAATATGTAAGACATGCAGTCAGTTTGGTTTGAAGTACTTAATCCTAATGTGAACTTCTGCACTAAATTTGTAATTTAATATGGTTTTCACTCTGACTTTGCAGTTTGCTAATTAAAACTTGCTAAGTGTTTACAGGAGTCTTCAGAGCATATCCTATAGCTATAGTATGCAAATGTTCACTGTTTTATCAATTATTTCTCACTTTAAACTGCATCTATTAAGTTGCTATGTGGATAATTACTTAATGAAAATTCATCTTTACTTTTTTTTTTTAATCTACAAGCTAAGGATCTGTTTTATGCTTTTGTTTTTGAGTCCATTGTCATAGAATCTAACATGCTTAGAAGTTCGTGCAGGGCTCACTGGATGTTTTCTGTCTCAGTGGTGGTGTTCTTTGAAAGGAGCAGAACCTGGGAATTCAAAGCTCAGATCTGGCTTTGAGTACATCACTCTGTCCTTGCCTATGGAGTGCTGCATTTAAAAATAGTATCGTGACTGCAATGAAGTATTTCTTCTGCTTAGTTGTTTCTATACATGTCAGCACTGCTTTAACTAAATTTGCAGATGGCCTGAGTGATGAGAACAACGATGATCGTGTTTTACAGTGTTGTCTGCAGTACCAGAGCCTCTTTCCTCAAGCTGTTGTTATACTGTGCACGTGAGTTTCTGGGTGTTTCTCAAGCTCTTAAGAGATTTAAGGTAGTCTTATGCCAGATACAGCATTTTCAAATCATATCTTAAAATGAAGAGCTGCTTCTGGAATAAGCTTCTGAGAAGCACTTGCTCCCTTAGAAGCTGCTGTAGAAGGGTACAGTAAAACATGAAGATTGTAGCTGTAATTGCCTTCAAGAGCACAAGGCCTGAAGTAAAGTTTATTCAATTTTAAAGCTTTTGAAAGATTAACTCAAATTTTCAAAGTCTTACTCAAATTTGTAACAAATATATTGGAATTATGAGATTAAAAAATCTATTTTTATTAATGAGTGAGATCCAGTTAGCTGCCGAGGTGGGTTTGCCTCTGGGTTGGGGAGGGTGATAAACACCATTGCAATTTATCTTAGAAAGAGAGAAGAGGGAGACAGATCCACTTCTGTGCTTCTTCTATGATGGTGAGTTTCTAGAATTGATTTGTGGTTTGGATACAAATGATGTGAAGCTAATTTTTTAAAAGAGTAGTATTCCTAGACCATAAACAGTTTGGTTTGTTTCAGGAAATAAAGTTGATTACCTACATGTCAGTTGGTTTGTGTAAGTTGATGTGTTAGACTGGGCTGTTGCTGAAAACACTGTTTCATAGAATGATAGAATGGTTTGTGTTGGAAGGGACCTTTAAGACCATCTTGTTCCAGCCCCCTGCTATAAACAGGGATGCCTCCCATAGCCCAGGTTGCTCACAGCCCCATCCAGCCTGGCCTTGAATGCCTCCAGGGAGACGGCATCCACAAGCTCTCTGGGCAACCTGTTCCAGTGTCTCACCACCCTCACAGTAAAGACTTTCTTCCTAATATCTAGTCTAAATCTACTTCCAGTTTAAAGGTTTTTCCCCTCATTTTGTTGCTACATGCGCTTGTAAAAAGTCCCTCCCCAGCTTTCCTGCAGGCCCCTTCAGGTACTGGAAGGCCACTATAATGTCCCCTCAGAGCCTTCTCTTCTCTAGACTGAACAGCAGCCCCAGCTCTCTCAACCTTTAGAATTCTCTGAGTAAAGAACAGAAGGTGTTGCTGATGACCTTAAAAGTGCTTTTCATCTGAAAATGCCTTTATCAGTATAAGCAATGGGAATTTGTAAGAGAGTAACAGAGCCGAAGTTTGTAGCAGTTGTGCTAGGGTATATGTGCCTCAAGGTGGTATCTATGAATATAACTCAGCCAGCAGTTTATGGAAAATGGGCCTGTATTATATCAGTGTAATAAGGTATGAGTGTCTTCAAATCATAGCCTTATCTGCATTCTAAGATCATAGCAGCTAAGCATCACTACTGCAGTACTTGTGGTTTTGCTTTTCTTAAAGGAAGCTCAGAGCCTGACAAATACTCTTTCAGAGTAGCTAGTTCAGTTCTTTTTCTGATATTTTTTTTTTCTGAACTGATTCTAACCTTGTAAAAAGGTATACTTTCTTATATACAGAAGATCACAAAATAAGCTTACAGGATTCAAATCTTTCAGTGCTTTATTCATAACTTATTACTTAATACAAAGTATTGTCAGTTTTATGTCAAAAATTAATTCTCTTTTCCTAGAGATGACAAAAATTTATGCAATAAAGCTATTGTGTGTGAGGTCAAGGCACTCTGTAAAGTGGATTTGGTTACTGCTCTACTGAATCTGAATGTAAACAAGCATCTGAACTGCCTGAAACTACAGCAGTCAAAATGTGGTAAGTTTGTTTAACATGTGCATAAACATACACTGGCTTTTGAGACCTACTGATCAGCGTAGGAGAGGGAAAACAGTTATATAGCCTCAATTTTTATAATTTGAATCCTCGGTGTTTGTTCTGTATAGGTTTTCTGTTTTCAAAGGTAAGCAGTTTCCTGAAAGTTTGAGACCTTTATTAAAAAATGTGTCTCTTACAATGTGAGGAAATTCACATGGCATCTTTTCATTTTACAGAAAAACAAAACAAAACACAGCATGAATTACCTTTGTTTACAGTCCTTTAAACTGTGTCCTACGTTAGAGGATTCAAAACCGATGTTTCCAGTTGAAGCAGTTTGGGTCCTATTCTTGCTTAGTTGTAAAGCCTTTATACTGAGCTCATCCTTTTCATTTTCTAGCAATAACTTTACATGCATCCCAACCAGTAGGGCTAGATTCTTAGGTTACTTGTTAATGTTTCAAAAGATGCAAATACAGCTTGCAATGGTAAGCAGTGATCTTCTCATACTTGCTGATAGCTCCACTGCCTGTATTTAATCTGAGGTATTTAAGAAAAAATAAGTGATAACACAAATGAATAATACTCTGGGGAAATTAGATTGTCTTGTTTAGTTGCTCATAAATAAAAATATCCACAGTACAAGTGAGTATAACTAGAAATGCATGAAATCTGATTAAATGTACCTTATCTGCTTTGTACACAGTGTAAAGTGCAGTCTGTCTTTTATTTACAGGAACAAGTCATTTGTATACTATCAACCTATATCAGCTATAGAAGCTGTTGCAATTAGTATCTTTTATTGCTGTTGGCTTTACAGATAGAGAATTCCAGAAAACAAAAGAA